AACAACAACAACAACAACAACAACAACAACAACAACAACAACAACAAGGTACAAACAAAAACTGCAACCCCGTTACACCACATCTTCTTTCTTTTTCTCTACCAGGGGGTAGAAACAAATTCTGCAACCCCGTCGTTGTTTTTTGACCCCCCCCCAAAACAACCAGACAACAAGCACTTTACTGCTACTACTACTAGTGGTACTAGTGCTACTACTACTAGTGGTAGACACCCCCCACCCCGGGACGTGTGGACAGTGCGCGGGGCGTGTGCGGAGGCGGAGGGGGTGGAAGAGGGGGTGGAAACCCGGTTCTCAATCTATGCACTGAAAATCAGTCTTTTCTTGGAGACTCCTGGAAGTTTTTGGATTCCAATGGAACAATATGGTCGATTTAAACGCCTTCTTGGGGTCTATGAAACTCCTCTGAGGGTCATGCTACTGGTGATGCTTATTGTAACTGGTTAAGTAAACCCTGTAAAACTTCTACTTAGAACCTCTACCACATCCTAGAAACAAAAACTGCAACCCCGTGGTTGTTTTTTGGACCCCCCCCTTACAAAAGATGTTGTTGTCTCTACCCCCCCTAGAAACAAAATCTGCAACCCCGTTTTGTTTTTTGACCCCCCCCCCAAACCAACACAACAAAAAACAAGAAGCAGACCAACCAAGACTCGAGTACCACAACGACAAGAAGTCCAGCTACTAACATCTCTCCAAACCTTCGACCCTATCCCTAACAGAATCCCATTGAAATCCCTGACTTGCAACATGTGACAACTATGTTGGGCAGCTGTTTTTGTCTCTACCAACAACAACAACAACAACAACACCAGCAACAACAGCAACAACAGCAACAACAACAACAACAACAACGGTGGAAAACACTCCGACAAGCACATCACATGGAAGCGGCTGCCACTCCAGTTCATGACTTTGATCCGCTGGTTACCGATGGTTACTTAGGTCACAAACAGGCCTAGGGCCTAGGTTGAGATCACAAACAAGGACTCCAAGTGGTTCGGTCATGAACCGAAGAAGCTGGTGAAAGAAGCTGCTTCTTTTCCTGGTCTTTGTCCGATCCTATCGTATGACTTCCGGGTTTTATTGGGTTGGTCAGACCTACCTTCGCCCGCTTACCTTTGCTTCAGGACAAACCTGACTATGCTTACCTTCGATCGCTGATGCACAAGGCGGCAGCCCGGCATAAGATCGACTTCGACGGGCAGTTCGATTGGGTGCTCCGGACCAAGAGGACGCCGGCGCCAGAAAACGACGCGTTCCGTGCGGACGACGCGTGCCGCGCAAGAGTGACGGAGCGCGGACCCTGGGTCCAGGGTTCAATCGGATTCAAAGCCATGCTGAAGAGCCCGAGCAAGCAGCAGTTTGACTATGATATCTAACCGGCTGTATGGGGCAAAGGACTCGTTTGAGCTGATTGTTCAACAAAGAATCATTTCCATTTCCATTTGTGGCTAGGTCAGTAAAAGGTGCGCCGCTCGCAGACAATCCAGATTGAAACCAGGAGTCACATGGAGTTGGGTGGAGTGGCTCGTCCCATCCAGGGCTCGTGGATGTGATGTTGGGGCACCTTTATCCTTCCTCCATTAAGTAGCAACCCGGCATGGAACTGCATCAAGGGGTCTTGGTCATGGAAGGCACAACTATGACATGCCATGACCAGCTCCTCGAAAAGACACATGCCCAAACACCAACTTCCCACAAGAATTGAAAGCTCCTCGCAGGAAAGCGCAGGAGATCTCCTCTGACTACGCCCCGCAGTACTCGACCTACGAATCGACCTACTACGAGTCGTACGAGGTGGGCGGTGGCCAATGAAGCGCGGCGAACCGGGAGTCGGAGCGCCTCCTTGGCCCTCCAGACGGGCCGGACCGGCACTGTCGGGCTGAACTGCGATGACGATGTGATTCAGCAGACAGAAGTCCTGTGTCTGCTTTCACCAAGCCAACAGGGAGATTCTCCGATCCGGGATCCCAGGCAGGTGAATATCCTCCAAAAACCTGGTGAGTCTTTTGCGAAGGAGTTGTCGGTCCAAATGGGCGTGTATTAAAATAGGGAGACCATCCCAAGAACCATTGGAAGAAGGGAAATAGACCAGTCTACCCAGCCAGGACCAGGCGGTCTCCCTATATTCAAATACGCCCAACTGATCTTGGGCCCATTCTCCCAAATATCACCACTTCGACTCACACCAAAATTGTTCTGTCCGCGATCAAGAGTGCTGTCCTGCCACCGTCTTTGCAGTAGGGTGGTTGATAGACTCTTAGTGATTCTTCGTGAAGGGACAAAGGGGCTGGCCCTAGCCTTCACTCCCCATCCTCTCGCTTTGGAGCCCCACAACTGGTGGTCTGGTTTTTTGGAGACACACATTCTCTCAACGCCAGAACCCCAAAGGTGTTTCTTGCGCTCAAACACGGAAATGGGGCAGTTCTTTGGAGCAGGTTTTTGGATATGTCAGGTCCTTGGTATTAACTGGCCAGCCACATGGAGTGTGGTGAGCCCTTGCACAGGCATTTCGTGTTTCTGGTCCATTGGAATTGCACTGACCCCCAGAATCCCTCCAAATGAAGATGTAATGGAGATTTTGAAACCAGTGATTTCGGGCCGACATGTAAGAGAGAGATCCCCCAAGCAGATAGAAACGAGGTTCACTCCATAGAGCAGATTTGATGTGTTTTTGATGGTATTTTCCCAATGTTCAATCTCATTTGCTCACTTTTCTTCCAGCTGCTTTGATGGATTCCACTGAAAAAGCGCCTGCCAGGAAGTCGAGCAGAAGTCCCGTCGAGTGTCCTCGGCCCAGCATGCCCGGTCGACGGAAAAAGGGCCCTCCGAGGCGTGCCTCGCTGCTGCTTTCGCCTCGCTTCGGTTGGTTTGGCTTTCAACAACTATTGGTTGAAGGGTCCTTTATGCCAAAGAACCATTGTTAGATTAAGGCATTTACACGACTACAACAGGTCGTTCCCGAACTCTTTGAAAGGTCGTGAAACGGGGCAGACCGGCGGCCATCCGGCGCTGACTCGTCCTCTTCCGACCGACCTCTCGGGTGGTTCAGCCGGTTGACCGGTGAGCCTGGAGATCCGTGATGCTGTTACAAGAGACTTGGGGGGGTGGGAGCCTGAGCCGAGGAGTCGTGGCCCACCATTGATTGACTCTTCCTGGAACTAACATGGAAGTGGAAAGCCCCCTTCTTGTAGAGGAAAAGGGTCTTCCAAGTGGCCATTATCCACTTCCGTGTTAGTTCCAGGGAGTGTAATGGGTTTTACCGAAGAGCCATTGTTTTTGATTGGGTCTGTCCCATTAAACTGCAACAGTCAGCAACCAAGCAAATCACTATTTTTGAACAAGGCCTTTGCAAACCATCATCATCATCATCATCA